AATACAATTAGAGTAGTTTACAGTGCTCATGTTAAGAACGTAGGAATGTTATGTTACGACTTACTGGTGGTTATAGGAATGCACTAGAGTAAGGTGGGAATAGAGCCTATGAGTAGGGTATGGGTAGGGTGTAGGTAGGGTATAGGTAGGGTAGGACATGTATATGGGTAGAATAGCGTTTTTTTGCGGCGTTCCCGATTGGCGGCGGGCGGGCGGGCGATGCGGGCGATTTCCATTTTTTGTCGCGTTTGCGGTTGGCGGCGGGCGGGCGGACGCACGGTGCGGGCGTTTTTCATTTTTTTTCGAGGCGTTTGCGGTTGGCTTCGGTCAAGCGGGCGGTTTTCATTTTTTGCGGCGTTTGTGGTTGGTGGCGGGCGGGCGTGCGATGCGGGCGTTTTTTATTTTTTGCGGCGTTTGTGGTTGGCGGCGGGCGGGCGTGCGATGCGGGCGGTTTTTATTTTTTGCGGCGTTTGCGGTTGGCGGGGGCGGGCGCGCGATGCGGGCGGTTTTTATTTTTTTGCGGCGTTTGCGGTGCTGTTTGCGGTTGGAGGCGGTCGTTTTTATTTTTGCGGCGTTTGCTGTTGGCGGCGGGCGGGCGTGTTTTTTTTTTTAATAATTCAATGTCCAAACCTTTGGATTCGTAGTGCTCCTCGAAAAGCCATCCCTACCTACTATACAATTAAGAGAAGTAACTACCAAACACAACCCTACTTATATAAACATACAAGTTTTGAGAACCAAACTAATGGCCCCATCAACCATATCTATCCAAACGTACAGTTATCGCGTAAACCTGTATTCTAGTCTTACTTAATAAATTATAAGTTGTCTGTGCGTCCGTCAGCCGTATGTGTCTTCTTGCGCCGGCACGGCGCCGCGTAGCGACGTGAAATTTGGTGACCACAAAATTTGGGTGGGGCGGAACATCGTATCAAAAGATGGGCGCAATCGGACCAGGGGTGCGGCGTCAGCGCGTGCATCTCTGCCCCAGGCTGGCCGAGGCCGACGCCGAGCAGAGAGCACGTGCTTTAGGCTCAGTTGTTCGCTTAAAAAACTGAGTGAAAACGATGAGAGCCAGCTCGGGAGATCATTAAACTTTAAACTCTGTGGATATTAAGAATACAGGTTTGCGATTAGGATCAGGTATAGGCGCAGGTACAGGTATTCGGTACAGGTTTTACCGGTAAATAAAATAAATTTATTATCAAGCGAGCGAAGCGAGCAAAGTGCAAGCGAAGCGAGCAAACTTTCGGATCTGCAGCGCTCCTCGAAAAGCGCATATACCTACATGCCTACCACACAGCTAAATGAAGTAAGTAAACAAACTTAACCCTACTGGCATGAACATACAAGTTTTAACGGCCAAACTAATAATCCCCTCAAACATATATCTCGAATCTGTACAGTTATCGCGTAAACCTGTATTCTAGGCCGGCCGGCCGTGGTCACGCTTTTGCGGGGCTTATATCTCAGCAACCACTTGACCGATTTACATGCGGTAATTTTTGTAGGGTAGCTTCATTCTTTCTACCAAGTATTGGACTATTCCCGATGTACGTGGGTGACCACTTATGCACGTGCCACGTGCAAAACGAAGAGGTGTTGGTTTTGCAACAATTGCAATATCTCGGTAACTACTGGGCCGATTGCGCTGAAAGTTGGCATGTAGTCTTACTTAATAATGTGTCTCAATGCTTCTAAATCCTCTGCCGCTCATTCTCCGTCACTATCCACCCTAATCTGTGTTTTTATTTAGGAGTAGCGAACCAACTTTCAACACGGCATTGCCGTACAGTATGCAATCAGGCGTTCGATAGTTCTGCCATCTAGCGCGTAAAAGGAAAGGTGGGGCGGCGGACACGACATTGCGGTACAGTATGCACTCAGGCGGCTTTATTCGCCAGCACCGTCATTGCGGTACAGTATGCAATCAGGCGTTTGATGGCTCAGCCATCTAGCGCGAAACAGGAAAGGTGGGGTGGCCACGCAATGGATAGTAGCCGGTTCACGACGGCCATCTGGTAAGTACAAATTTGGTGCAGGTTTCGTGCGATTAGATTCAGTGTGTTTCTTAGCAGCTATCAGCTAGGGTTACATTAATTGCTTATAGCTATTCCTGCTTTTTCATAGTATTAGACATTATTATCGATCAACCCTATTACTGGTGGGGGGGGGGGGGCATCGGCCCCCACCTGTAGTATTTTTTCTGTCGATGGAAAATCGCCTTAGGTGTTCGAAATTTGGCGACTTTTCCTTAGCTAGAGGCGTATCCAGGATCAGTTTCTCGGGGGTAAATCTGGTCACACTTAAAACAAAAATAATTTCAAAACAAACGTGTCCATCTGTATGTGTGCATATGCCCTAGAGACAGTATTGCGGTACAGTGTGCATTCAGGCGGTGATACGGCAGACGCGGCACTGCGGCACAGCGTCCATTCAGGCGCTTGACGCTCCTGCCATCTAGCGAGTAAAAAGGAATGTTTGGGCGGCTATGCGAGCCGCACTTATTGGGTAGGTATGCGCACTCGATTACCTGCCTAGCAATCTTCAAGAGAACAACCTTTCACCATTTTAAAGCATTAATAATATCCATGGTATTGAACAAACGAATGTGATAGAATACAATTAGAGTAGTTTACAGTGCTCAGGTATGTTATGTTACGTAGGTATGTTATGTTACGACTTACTGGTGGTTATAGGAATGCACTAGAGTAAGGTGGGAATAGAGCCTATGAGTAGGGTATGGGTAGGGTGTAGGTAGGGTATAGGTAGGGTAGGACATGTATATGGGTAGAATAGCGCTTTTTTGCGGCGTTCCCGATTGGCGGCGGGCGGGCGGGCGGGCGATTTTCATTTTTGTGGCGTTTGCGGTTGGCGGCGGGCGGGCGGGCGCACGATGCGGGCGGTTTTCATTTTTTTGCGGCGTTTGTAGTTGGCGGCGGGCGGGCGTGCGATGCGGGCGGTTCTTATTTTTTGCGGCGTTTGCGGTTGGCGGCGGGCGGGGGCGCGATGCGGGCGGTTTTTATTTTTTGCGGCGTTTGCGGTGTTGTTTGCGGTTGGAGGCGGTCGTTCTTACTTTTGCGGCGTTTGCGGTTGGCGGCGGGCGGGCGGGCGCACGATGCGGGCGGTTTTCATTTTTTTCGAGGCGTTTGCGGTTGGCGGCGGTCGGGCGGGCGGTTTTTATTTTTTGCGGCGTTTGTGGTTGGCGGCGGGCGGGCGTGCGATGCGGGCGGTTTTTATTTTTTTGCGGCGTTTGTGGTTGGCGGCGGGCGTGCGTGCGATGCGGGCGGTTTTTATTTTTTGCGGCGTTTGCGGTTGGCGGCGGGCGGGCGCGCGATGCGGGCGGTTTTTTGCGGCGTTTGCGGTGTTGTTTGCGGTTGGAGGCGGTCGTTTTTATTTTTGTGGCGTTTGCGGTTGGCGGCGGGCGGGCGTGTTTTTTTTAATAATTCAATGTCCAAACCTTTGGATTCGTAGTGCTCCTCGAAAAGCCATCCCTACCTACTATACAATTAAGAGAAGTAACTACCAAACACCACGCTACTTATATAAACATAAAAGTTTTGACAACCCAACTAATGGCCCCATCAACAGTATCTATCCAAACGTACAGTTATCGCGTAAACCTGTATTCTAGTCTTACTTAATAAATTATAAGTTGTCATCATCGCGTGTGTCATGCCTAATGTGTCTTAAAGCGCCGGAACGGCGCCGCGTATCGATGTGAAATTTAGTGGGCACAAACTTTGGGTGGGGCTGACCATCGTATCAAAAGATGGGCGCAATCGGATCAGGGGTGCGGCGTCAGCGCGTGCATCTCTGCCCCAGGCTGGCTGAGGCCGACGCCGAGCAGAGAGCACGCGCCAAAGGCTCATTTTCCTCGCTCACAAAACTGAGTGAAAACGATGAGAGCCAGCTCGGGAGGTCATTGAACTTTGAACTCTGTGCGGCTATCAAGAATACAGGTTTTCAATTAGGAACAGGTATAGGTACAGGTACAGGTATTAACAGGTACAGGATTCACTAAATAAAATGAATTTATTACCGAGCGAGCGAAGCGAGCAAACTTTCGGATCTGTAGCGCTCCTCGAAAAGCGCATATACATACCTACCATACAGTTGAATGAAGTAACAAACTTAATCCATGAACATACAAGTTTAAACAACCAAACTAATAATCCCCTTTAACATATATCTCGAATCTATACAGTTATCGCGTAAACCTGTATTCTAGTGACTATAAATTAACAACTTCACCGGTGACTGGCTTTATTGGTCCGTGACACATATCAGTGGCGCACAACGTCATCGCCTCTAGCTTGGGCTTGCAGAATCTTCCAATGACATCACTGCGGGTCGGCAGCTGGGTTGAAGTCAGGTCACAGGGTTTTACGACCAATTGCCGGTGGGGCTCGCGGAACATCTAGGTGCATCCCCTGCATACCGCAGCCTTCTTGTGACACGGTCCGTAGGAATTTTGGTATTCATTTTGTGTCCTCGAAAAAAGTCCTCTGGTGACCCGCCCTAAAGGCCGCCCCACACTGGACCTCGCATGCGGGTTGCGGGTTTTTGGGTTTTCGGGTTTCTTCAAAATCAAATAATACAATCTAAGCTGAGTGACCCACACTACCATCTAACAAGCGAGTCTGCATGTTTTTAGCTTGCGAGCAACTTTGCATCGCATTCCAAAAGTTGATTTTGAGTCAACTTTTGATTTTCCTCGCTGCGAGGTCTGCGAGTTCTGCGAGGTTTGCGGGTTTTTCGTTTGAGTCGAATTTTGGTTCGTTGCGCTGGTATTGCGACTATATGTAAGTTTCTGAAGGTGAACCGGCTTCACTGCATTCATGAAGTTACCATAAGGGAACGGTCTAATCACTCTATGAATTAGTATTATGCCCGCAAACTCAAAACCCGCAAACTCGCAACCCGCATGCGAGTTCCAGTGTGGGGCGGCCTTAACACACATGCTACTGTTAAATATGCATCGCACTTTATTGTTTCAGGATGCTTGCAAGTTTAAGGCACACGGAAAACGAAAGAAGCTCCTACCGATCGACTTTGACAATGCGTTACGGATGCGAAACATGGAGGTGAGTATCTCAGTGCATTAATATTCTATGAAAAGCACCCTTATTTGCACTATGTATGCTAGGTGCATATGTATACTAGGTGGAAGATAATTTCGTGAGATGGTTGAAATCAATCATTCGATTATGTTGGACGTGTTTTGAAGTGCTCTATGGTTTTCCATATAGTTTTTGCGCTTCTCTCCCGCCTTATGAGCTGTGGTTAATATCATACGAATCCTAATTGAACCCGCGCACCGACGGGGGTCTGCGCCAACTTAGAACCGGCAGGGTGTGGGGGGGGGGGTTGATCGCCCCCCTGAGATATCGAGAATGGAGCAAGATAGCGACAAGTGGTAAATGGCATGGGGTACGCACGGACAAGGTCTACAAATTTTACTAAGGTCATTTTCAGGTCAGGTCAAAGATGACGTCACAGGGGTCAACAAAGTCAAAATGGCGACGCTAGAAATGAAGTTTTTCTCAAATACCTTTTGAAGTAGCCAAGCTAGGAACAAACTAATGGCATCATCGTGATCCTCTTGTCAATCCGCATCGAATGATATATGTGATGAACTCGAAAGGTCAAGGTCAAAGGTTGACCTCGTTGTCTTTCACGTTGTCTTTCGGGGGAAGGTCATCCCCAGGTGGAGGTAGATCTAATCATGCCATCAACCTAGATGATGAAGTGTCATGTAAAGGAAAACTGAAATGCTGGTATACAAATGCCAATAATCTAAGCAACAAGTTGGATGAGTTTCGGTCATGTTTCGGAGTTTCGGTTGGATGAGTCGCTGTTACCGATCTGTGGAAAGATTTTGGAAAAGGTGGTTACTGAGAGCTTGTTACCCGCCTGCTTACCTGCCCTGCCATCCTCCCAACACGGCTTCCTTCCAAACCGATCCTGCGTCTCCAACCTATCCTGTTTCCTTGATCACTGCTGGTCCTCGATTGCGAGTGGAAGGCAGACTGACGCAGTCTATACTGACTACTCTTCAGCTTTCACAAGCGTGAACCACACCCTACTCCTGCACAAGCTGCATCACTCCTTCGGTATATCTGGTGTCGCCTATGACTGGCTCTGCTCCTATCTCAGGAACCGGACACAGCGAGTAGTCCTCAATGAGAAACGCTCACAGTGGATTCCTGTCCAGTCGGGCGTCCCAGAGGGCAGCATCCTGGGCCCCTTACTGTTTGCGTGCTATGTGGCCGATATACCTCACCACATTGAGACCAACTGCATTGCTTATGCTGATGATCTCAAGCTTTACCACCGCATCAGCAGTCCCGCCGATGTCCTTTCCCTGCAGGCTGACCTTGACCGCCTCCACCTCTGGTCGAACACGTGGAGACTTCGTCTTAACCCATCTAAGTGTAAATTCATTTCTTTTACCCTTCGTACTTCACCTGTTGATGCTGTGTACAACTTGGATGGCCATTCGCTCTAAAGGTGTAGTCAGATCCGTGATCTAGGCGTAATATTAGACTCCAAGCTCACGTTTTGTCATCATGTCGATTACACCATGTCAAAGGCTAATCGGATGCTTGGGCTTCTCATGAGGAGCATGCAGATGCCGGACTGTCCTCGTGCGGCACGCTTCGAGTACAAAGCGATGTTGAGCGTTTTTAACGCGCATGTCAGGTCCGTCCTCCAGTACGGTAGCGTGGTTTGGAGTGGGGCCGCCGTCACCCATCTTGCACGATTGGAACGGCTACAGCACCGCTTCCTTATGTGGCTAGCGGCGAAGACGCAGAGACGCTGTCCCTCTCTAGACTATCGTGCCTTACTGCAGCATTTTAACACTGATTCTATTAAAGCTCGCCTCGTTCATGCCGATATCATGTTATTGTACAGTGTGCTTCACCATCGTATTGACAGTGCTCACCTGGTCTCCATGTTTGGTTTGAGTGTACCGGGGAGGCGCAACCGTCGCACCGGCCTTTTTCACATTCCATTCGGGAGAGTGAACACTGTTAAGAACAGCCTGACCGCGCGCATCCCTCTTGTGTGCAACGAATTCCTGACGCATAGTCCCTCCGTAGACTTTTACCACCCGTCTGCATCATTTCGGAGTGAGGCTTTGATGTACGCCCGTACTCTGGGCAGCTACATTGGCTGATTGAATACCTACGCTACAGCCTCTGTTTTCAGTTTTATGCATGTGTTCGTGCATTTTGTCGTTTGCCTTTTTAGCTATGTGACTGCATCCGTAAGTGGGCTCTTTGTGCCTGTGGATGTCTTGGTGATAATAAACAAAATAAACATGTATTGATGCTTAGAGGCCGGACGTTATAGGTGTCACAGAGGTTTGGATGAAGGAGGAGTTTGTGTTGCAAGGACATCATCCTGCTGTGAGGTATGACAGGATTGAAGGCAAAAAAGGTGGAGGCGTGTTGTTGCACGTCAAGGACAATCTACAGGTAATGGAATGTCCTGTATTAAATGATTCAGCATTTGATGAATCAGTAGGGTGCGTGATTAAATTATCACATGTTGAATCAATTTTAATAGGAGTATGTTATAGATCTCCAACGAGTACAGCTGACAATGACTTTGAATTGAACAAGTTATTCAAGATGGCACAAGCGAGCCACGTGAAGCACATTCAGGTGATGGGAGACTTCAATTATCCCCAGATTGACTGGAAGAGGGGAAGAGTGTCTGGTCCGGCTGGTTCCGGTCAGGTGTCCTTTTTCGAGATGGTCCAAGACCTATACTGGATTCAGTGTGTCGAGTTTGATACACGGTTCAGGATAGGGTGCAATCCGTCGCAACTGGACCTAATCTTCACCAATCAAGAATACAGTATAGATCAGGTGGAAACTAGGGTGCCATTAGGCAAAAGTGACCACCTGGTCCTGACCTGGTGTTACCAATTTAGATCAATGCTTGATGTCTCTGGAACCAACAAGATAGACATAGCCAGGTACAATTTAAAAAAAGGGAGATACGATCGATTCAAAGACAGTCTTGAGGATGTTAACTGGAATGCATATGGAGAGATGGACATCGAAGCCATGTGGAGTGGTTTTTACAATGTCTTGATGAAAGCTATTAATGAACATGTACCCATTTGGAAGAGATGTAATGGCAATCACAACTCACAAGTTAGCACCCTGGTGGACAAAGAAACTGTTAACCTGCGCCCTGATGGGGTCTGCCGAGCAACGCGGTCTGATGGGGGGGGGGGCATTTTGGCCCCCCCCCCCTAAGATCTCGAGAACCACGCAACATAGCGACAAGCGGTAAACGGCGTTGGATAGCCCCAACGAGGAACTACCTTGTGACCCAATTTCATTGACCTCGGTCAAACCGATGACGTCACAGGTCAGGTCAAAGGTCGAATTTTCACCGTTTACAGGCATTTCAAGAAATGCGTTGTAAAATCGAGTAAAATGCATTTCATTGAAAATCATCGATGGGGAAATTTTCTTCAAACACATGTTTTGCTATTTGAGGTCACTGATACCAGGTCAGGTCACAGAGGTCAGGTCACTGGGGGGGTCACGATATGAAAGTGTCGTGTGATACATGTTTTATGGTCCATTTTACATGACAAATGCGATTATGTGGGTCAGGCAGACTTTTGGGCCAGCTTAGGTCACGTTTTGGTCAAGGTCAGGTCAAGGTCAGGTCAAGGTCAGGTCAAATTAGGTCAAATTTCAAAGTTGATATTTTTGCATAAAATGGGTATCGATTCGATGCAGCTCGTCACGGGGAGTTCAATGGTGGTCTCCGTTTTGCGCTACGAGGTCTAGAATTGCTAAAAATTGAGTTCAAAAATTTGACGTCCTCAATTTTTAACAGTTTTTTCGCTATAACTTGGCCAAAAAAAAAGGTATCGATCTAAAATTTGGTATGTATATCGAAGAGCGCAGGGACTATCACATTTATTCCGTTTTTTCGAAAAACTTTTGGAAATTTTTTGAGTTTTTCTAAAAAAAATTATTTTTTTATTTTTTGGGGTCAAAATCCCAAAATTTCGAAAATCCGAGACAGCAGTTTTGTAGCGCCGTCTTTTCTCTACACAACCACATAAAGAACTTTAAAATTGCTTGTTAACTGTAGAATTGGTGAGCGTTTCAAGATGTCATGTTTTTTGCTCATTTTTACTCGAACATGACCTCAGTTTGACCTCAATATCTCCTGACCTGAGGTGACCTCTGACTTGAAATTTTGTTTGAAGGTGTCAAATTGATGCCCGGTAAGGTACCCAAAATTTGGCGGCGCTGCGCGCCGCCGTTTTCTCGCTATTTAAGAAAAACCACAGGGGGGGCCAAAATGGCCCCCCCAGCACTATGAAAATAAGTTGGCAGTACTTGGCAAGAAAGAACCGAAACGAATCCATACATACATTCGAAATCAACTCAAGGTGAAACCAGAAGTAAAAGGTTTAGAGGCTGATCAAGGAAAAATAACTGAAGATGACCAACAGGTAGCTGATACCCTGAACAAGTTCTTCCAATCAGTGTTCACAACCGAAGGTACGGGACCGTTACCCGAGTTTCAGGACCGTGTGGGTCAGGCACGTACCCAGGATTTCGCCCAGGAGGGGGCCACCTGCTTTCGAAGGGGCCCCCCAGGTCACCCGGGGGCCCCCGGGAGTGGGAGTCATGCAGAACCTTTCGATGGTGGTGGTGGGGGGGGGGGGGCATAGTGGGTCCGGTCTCTCCTGCAGACGTAGGTGAGAAAACGCCACGTGTGTGGGAAAACGCAATTCAGTTCTTTACAACCTAATGTAGCTTTGGTTGTGATTTTTCGCGTTCAGCTTCATCAAAGTCAATTAAAACGGTCTCTGTAACGGTCTTAGATTTGAGAAAATGTGGAAAATTGGAAAGTAAAAATATTTTTGCTTGAGGAGTGTGCATGAAACGCACGGCATTTTATGAGCGAGCACCTCAATTAGCTCCGGATAATAGGTATATAATATAATAGTGGGGAATAAATGTCTCATTATCGGAATTCCACTATCTGGCAACTAGCCCTATGTAAACGCGGCTATTATGTTTCACTAGGAATCGAG